TATTAAAACAAATTGTTGAAATCAGCTTCATAGAGAAACAGTGTCGTCGTTAATTATGAAAGAGATGTTCTTAAATATCATAACTTTACGACACTCACATAATGACTAGATTTGACTATTTATTTTATTATATTTTAATTTGAATTATATGCTTATAAAAATATAGTTTATTTCTTAACAAACACTAAATGAAAATAAGTTTAATCTTTGAACAACATTAAAAAGAAATCGACAAACTTTCGTAAAAATTTCGAACTTTCTATTTCAATTTTATCTATTAATATTTTGCAGTTTTTAGGTCATTCAATTTTAGTCTAATAAAGTGCAAATTTAATGTAACTGTGATTTACAGTTGATGTATGGGATATTTTTGACGATGTCGGTAAGTTTCTTCCATATTATCTAAGTATGTTCGTCGATTTTTTTTAATGAACAAAATGAGCAACGCCTTCATAAAAAAAAATATTAAAAATCAACGATAAGTCGTAGCTATGTATTTTAAACATGCGCTTTATTTGAATTGATCGGGCTACAAAACTGCACACTCAAAATATGTTTTGCTAGGAAATCTAATTAAAAAGCTTTACGAAAGTTTGTTGATTTTTTTAATGTGGCGCAAAGATTAAACTTTGGATTTATACGGGTTTTGTTAAACTGCATTTGTATAAGCAAATAATTAAAATTATATAATTTTAAGATAAATGGCCAATCTAGTTAACATGTATAAAGTTTTGATAAGCACTTGAAATGTCAAGTTTTAGTACTGAATTCAAAGAAGATGACTCTTTTATCCATTCATAATAACTTAAAAAAATTTGTTTGTTAAGAAGTGTATCTTAAAATATCTGCCTTGACATTTATGTTAAAAGTGTAAAATATGTAAATGTACATAAACTTTCCCATGAATACCCTCAAAGCATTGGTCTTAAAGGGAATTTATGTATGCATGCATGCATATGAGCAAATTAAAAAGTCGATACAATTTAGAGTCGAAAAGTACAGTTTTTGTATAGATTATAGATTATTTTCCAACACTGTGGGGAACTAAGCAAAATGGCCTAGGGTATTTCGCAAATATTCAAATACATAATCCACCAACCGATAATTTTATATATTCATTAAAAGATAATTTGTCATCAGTCTGAAATAAAAAAAAATTATAAATCGGAAGGGTAAAATAGTATTATGTTATTAATTCAAAAATAAAAAGTTTAATTTCACTGACGAAGGGGGAGGATCTATCCCCCCAAATCCCCCCTGGCTACGCCACTGTCTGTAGGTATGTTAGTGAGTGAAATCTTAAATGGCTGGAGGGATTTCAAAAAAGTTGTGTGTGTGTGTTTGAGTGAGACTCTGGATAGCTTAGTTTCACAATTTAACCCGCCAGTTGGCGCTGGAGTTGAGTTATTACTAAAAATCTTTTTTTTATGATCCGATTTGACGAATTTTCAAAACATGTATTGGAAACGGTAAAGGAAGTCCAATTGCAAAAAAGAGATGTGAGGTGATGCTGAGGTCGAGTGGTTACTAAAAATCGACAAGTGAAAAAAGGTGCGGTGAATGTCAGACTAAATCGACCTGTTGCATTATTGAATATATCGAACTCTCGTGTATTACGATTGGCCTAATGGATGTGATTTGCCAATATTATTATGCGTTAAAGCTTCATTCGGACATACCAGGGGTGTGATTTGTGCAGTGGTAAATCTCAAACCACTACCTGTCGAAATACCTTAAAAGCCAGTTTAATAAAAGCAATTTAATGAAGCTTTATTTTTTTAATTTAATTTAATATAGAACCTGACAGAAAAAATAATGTTTCACTTAAATTGCTTTCGTGAAACTGGCTTTTAAGGTATTTCATCTCAGTCTATGTATGTATATTGTATTTCTGTTGAACAAGGATAACCATCCATTTTGAAATTGCCACCAACTATAAGATAAAGTTTTTAGGGCAAATTCACTATAGATCCGGATCATTGTTGCCGCCGGGGACCTTTTTCATGGACATAACACTTTAGTTAGTTTATTTAAGGCGGCAAACGACCACCAAACCATAATCTTAGCCGATGAATTTGCCAATGGATATCGTGGACTGTTGGAGAAAATGTTGGACCAAAACGATTAAATTAAAAATCTAATTACGGGCAGGGCGAAGATCGCCGACGATGTTCTTTTTACCGTGAGCACAGAATCAGTTAAATATCTCGAAACGAGCGTTAATACAGCACTTATGGCGTTTTCTTTTCTCGCAAAAAATGTCACCTTTGTATAAGGCAACATTATCAGAGTGCAACATTTTAAAGGGCGAGCACGCAATATGCACTTGACAGCCCCGGCGCAGGGCAGAATAAATGCAACATTATTTCGAGAAAAGAAAACGCTATTAGTATTATATGTACATCAATGGGGTATTGGAGTCAAATTAGTATTTGGAGAGGATACAACGCAAATCATATCGTTCACAGAAAAGTCAACGAACGTTAAAATCGTGATTAATGGCGTTCGTTTAAGCTTTCTGGATGATATTGAGCTTCTTGGTGTTATCATCGACAACCGCCTGAAGTTCGTTAAACACGTCCGATATGTTTTGACAAAAGCCCAGCGTATATTCACAAATTTATGCAGATTCGTGAGACCAACATGGGATGTACACCCCGAAAATGTAATAAGCATCTACCAGCAAGTGGTGGAATCTACCATTACTTACGCTGCTGCGATATGGGGTAAAGCCACCAAGTTTTACTACATACGCCGCCTTTTTCAAACGTTTCAGAGAACATTTGCTATACGCGCCATCACACGGTCTAACTTCAGCATTAGTCCTTTCTGGATTCATACCTTTACATTTAAAGAGATATTACAATGTATGAGATTAGATGAGGTGAAGAAAACGGGTACTCTCGAGCATGCCAGTAACACGAGTCTCTAAAGTCGTGTACAAAAGCATCAGCAATTACATCTAGCCGAGCGTCAAACAATTACATACAGAATTGTGAACACTCAAGAAGAACTAAACTCACTAGACACCTTTGACTGTACTCAAATATATACGGACGGAAGCAAGCAGGACACAAGCAAATGCGGGGCCGCGTTTGTCATAAGCAGACAAATGAACAGGTGGGAAAGCTTTATATTCAAACTCCACGATACGTGCAGTTTTTCAAGGAGAGGCACTGGCTGTCGATGCGGCTTAGAGTGGGCTGAATCCAGTCTAACCAGGAAAACCCTTCAAGCATTTTCTGACAGTAAATCATGCCTCGAAGCGATCAAAAATAGAAGTAA